AACTAACATAAATGAAGATGGAGAACTAACTGTTAGATTTAGGAACATGGAGGTCACTGATGACCCTGATCAAAGTAGTTTTGATAATGTGCAAAAACCAAATCAGTTAGAGAATGAAAGGAAAGGAATTGAAAAGATAATGTGACAATATTTTTGATTTTTGGATTCCATCTAGCATGTTGCTTTAAAAGAAATAGAATAAATCTGAAAAGAAATATTTGAATTGAAAAGTTTGAAAGCCACTACACTAGATTACTTTGAAGAGAAAGGAAAAAAAACACATCTAAGGTCACATTAATAGGGAAAAGGAGCTATTTATCTTTAACCAACTTGATTATATCACTATCAGGTAAATAGCTCAAAAAAGGCTTGCGATACTGAACGTGTTAAAGCTTCATAGGTTGTTATAAAAAATGTTTCGTTAACCAAGAGAGAAAGAGAACCATTTAGCAATCATTAAAAGCAATCATCCTGCAGGGCAATGGAGTGTTCTGCTTCATCATGCAGAAAGCCAATAATTTCTGGTTAAGTACTGATTATATAAATGTCTGATTAAAAACAGGCTATAAGGAGAAACTGGTCAATCCAAAGCTAATGCAAAGATCTTCTGAATAATGAGTTCTCGAATTCTCAACAGATATTACCATTATAAAACAGCTTCAGGAAATATTCAAAAACTCGAATTTGCAAATTTATCGATGAAGACTTGAAGAAAACAAAAAAAACTTACAAAAATATTCAGAGAGTCTTTTTCAAAGACAACACAACAAAACTAATATATGATAATAACAAGTGAAAGAGAAACCAAAAATATGCATACTTATTCCTAAGCCTCAATATTTCATCTTAGATACCACTTCCTCCAAGAAACTGCTCAACTTCCCAGAGAATAACCGTCCAGTCTATTAGTTTCTTAGTACCCAAGAGATCACCCATCACAGCCCCCTACTACTCTGTATTATAATTGCCTACTTGTCTACCTTAATCTGTCACTTGGCAAAAATTCAGTGAAAGAATCAAGGTCATCTTTGCTACCAGATAATTGGTTCCACATATCAAGCACAAAAAAAATTTTTTTTTTAACAGTTGAACAAGGCAATGACACATGCAGTGATAAAGAATTTCATGACCTCAGACCCTACTGAATAGTTTGTCTATTTTCAAATTGGTTCATGTTGGGGAGCCTCTGGAAGTCATGGTGCCCTCTGTGGAACACTATGCTCTTTTTTGAATGTCAAAA